ACCAACAACTGCAGCTGCTACAACAACAACTACAGCTATAGCACAAACAACAAGTCAAGCACCAACAACTATAAATGCAGGACAAACGACCACAAACCAAGCACCAACAACTGTGACTGCTACACCAACAACAACTGGTACACCAACAACCACAACAGAAGCACCTACAACTGCTGCACAAACAACCACAACTCGAGCAGCAACAACTGCAACTGCTACACCAACAACCACAATGCAAGCACCAACAACTACAACACCTAGACCAACAACCACAACTCAAGCACCAATAACTACAACTGATACACCAACAACCACAACCAAAGCACTAACAACTACAACTTCTACACCACCAACCACAACTGTTGCACCAACAACTACAACTGCTGCACCAACAACCACAACCCAAGCACCAACATTTACAACAGCTACAAAAACAACTCAAGCACCTGCAACTACAACTGCTACACCAACAACCAAAACTGAAACACCAACAAGTCAAGCCCCAACAACCACAACTGAAGCACAAACAACTAAAACTGATACACCAACAACCACAACCCAAGCACCAACAACTACAACTGCTACACGAACAACCACAACTGAAGCAACAACAACTACAACTGCTGCACCAACAACCACAACCCAAGCACCAACAACTACACCTACAAAAACAACAACTGCAGCAAAGGCACAATCAACAAGTCAAGCACCAACAACTGCAACTGCAGCACAAACAACCACAACACAAGCATCTACAACTACAACTGCTGCACAAACAACCACAATTCGAGCATCATCATCTACAACTGTTGCACCAAAAACCACACCCCAAGCACCAAAAACTACAACAGCTACACCAACAACCACAACTCAAGCACCAACAACTACAACTGCTGCGCCAAAAACCACAACTCAAGCACCAACAACTACACCTGCTAAAATAACAACTGCAGCTAAAGCACAAACAACAAGTCAAGCACCAACAACTATAAATGCAGGACAAACAACCACAAACCAAGCACCAACAACTGTGACTGCTACACCAACAACAAC